ATTACTTCTCTTAAAATTTAGCTCGCATAAATAGGAAGATACAACTGCTATTAATTAGCTTTTAATGATTGGTACAAAAACTGTAGAAATAATGTGGACCGGACGGGTAATTTAGGAATTATGCACATTTTTTTGAATTAAGGTTTCATATATGGTATAGATAAGAAAAAATAAAATAAACTTGGGCTTCTTATTGCTTCTTCAAAAGCAAGTGGACAGAACTAGTAATTAATTGGGCTAAAGGCCCACTTCATGTTGTCTTGCTAATTTTTTTTAATTGGCAGAACTATTTTGTTGGGGTTAAGAGGTTTCATGGGCCTCTTTCTGTGATAGCAGATTTAAGTCATGGGCTAAAGGCTCACTTCTTTTAGGGAAAAATACACAGGTAAGCTAACTTTTAAAAATATTTAAGAAAATAATACTACTCTTTATTTATTCCATAAATGGCAACAAAATTTACACTAATAGCAGATAAAGCTTATGAACATAATTAATGAGCACAACCAAACGCATCAAGTTAAGGGATATTTCGTCCCCACCCCCCCCCCCCCCCAACCCCCCCTCTCTCAAATTAGGGACTCAATTCAATTCTCTTATTTTTCATTATTTTTCTCTCTGTTCTTTAACCGTTACACTATTTTTATTCACTTAATCATTATGAACTAATACTACATATTTATTTATTCATTATATATATTTTGTATAACTTTTCAGAGGAATTATGTGTATAACTTCTTGCTTAAAATCAAAATTCTACTTAGTTCGTTGTTCAAATTTGGTTTCGATTCGAATCAGATTTGGTTTCATGTATTTGAAAATCATTAATGTAGATATAATTAATTATATTAAAATTGTGTTATGGATATAATAAATTATATTGAAATTATACACTAGAAATTTTTGGGGACTTTATGTAGAGTGAATCATATTGACATTGTACAGTGGGTATAAAAATTATATTAAAACTAGTAAATATGCCCGCGCTTCACACGCGGTCGTTAAAAACTTTATTCAACATACAAAACAATCCTTATACTAATATCCGAATATGTTAAAGATTCTTTTCCAACCCAATAGATTAAATTTCAAATTTTAATCCATCTTTTATCTAACAAATTAGTTTGATTTTTTCCCCTAATTTAGCATCGCTTATGTGTTTCTAATCTTCTAGACCTCCCCAATATAAAAATAACAACACAGAATAAAAGAAGTTAAAAGAAAATTGGTAAAATCGAATATATCTTACAGATCAACGAAATCAAATTCAACAAATATTTTCTCTAATTTTTTTCTTCCCTTTTCAATTCCATTTACCTTTTTCCTCTATTTCTTTTTTCTTTCTTACATCCTTACCCATTCATTTTTCAAATAAAAAAGGAAAAAAAGAACAAGAAAGAAGGCAAAACTTCCTTTTTTTCAAATCCAATAGATTAAACTTCAACTTCTTAATCCATTTTGCATTTAACTAATTAGTTTTATAACTTTTTTTTTCTGATTTTCCACCACTTATGAGTTTTTAATCTTGTAAACCTACCCAAGACAAAATAACAACACAAAATGAAAGAATTTAAAAGTAAAAAGGGTAAAATTGAATCTGTGGCACAAGTCAGTGGAATCAAATATTACAAATATTTTCTCTAATTTTTTCCTTCCCTTTTCTATTTAAGTTACCTTTTTCTTTTTCTTTTTTCTTTATTACTCCTTACGCATTTATTTTTCAAAAAAAAAAAAAAAATACAAAACTCATTTTTCTTCTTTTCTAATTTCTCAAAATAAAGATAGTAAGTAACCAAAGAACCTCAATCCATAATAACGATAAGTAACCAATGAGATTTAGAGGCATAATAATGATATGTAACTAAAGAGACACAAAGCATTTTTATGTGATTTTTAAAATAAAACTGAGAAAAAAAAGAGAGAGAGAAAGAATGGAAGGGCAAAAGAAATAAGAAAAATAAGAATCCTTTTTTATTGAAGATTATTGAAAGAGACATAAAAAAACATTAGTAGTTATTCTCATCTTCGTATAAGAAGGGTACTTTCACCTCTTTAATATCTCTTATCCTTTGAACAACAATAACAAAAAAATCAAACGCATAAAATAGCAAGCATATATAAAGATTAAAAGAGAATATGCACAAAAAACCATTGCCTGTAATTTTGAAATAAATGAATAAGGAAAGTCAGCATCCCATTCAACACAAACAAAAAGAAAGAAATGGAGAATGAACTATCAGAAGTCCCAATCTCCTTTGAAATCAGAAGGAAAAAAAAAGTTACCTGAATCAAGACAACCGTTACACCAAAGTAGAGGTTTCAATAGTTTTATTTATCCATCTGCAGTTTCATATATTGCTGTGAGAGATTTTGAATACAAACAATAAGACAGACACTCAACAATGAGAATGAAACTCATTACCAGTATACGCTTTATTAAAATTTATATGGTAAAATAGTAGTAAGGCATGGAAAGAAATACATGATCACACCTTCACGAATGAAATATCACAAAAACTCTTTAACACAAACAAAAATGTAAAGGGGAAACCAATTAATGTTCAGTACGATTCAAGTCATTCCAAACCAATTTAAACTCAAGAAAAGTGATAGAAAGTAGAAGGAATAAAACACGTATGAAGCTACATAGAGTAGAAACTATGAAAACTTATAGCTTCATTTTTCTTCTTTCCTTCCGGCCATGGCGGCAAGAATGTAATTCAATCTTGGAGTTCACAGCTGAGTAAATCACTGTATAGAGAAAGATACAGATGGTATTGATATAAGCAAAATTTGATTCATCCTCAATGTCTAGAAAAGAAACAATAGTCAATATGTGTTAACTTCCAAACGTCTAACGCTTTACCTTCTCATCTATCCAACATTTATGCTTTTGGAATATGAAAGCTTTGAATAGTGATAGCCATTCTTCTAATGCTTTTTCTTTCATTAATGTACGAGCATTGAGCATTTAACTGCATTAAGTTATTGTTTTATGTTGGCATGCATATTTTACAGCTTTTAACATGAATTTTTGACCAGAAAATGAGGTAAAAAGTCAAAAAATTGTAGAAAATATATAAATACAATTGCTGGCCATAGAGAGCTGCCACATCACCTTCTCTATTACCAACTTTATATATATATATATATATATATATATATATATATATATATATATATATATATATATATACTATGGATATCATAAATTT